GGTGAACTTATACTTCCAATTCTTCTTCTGACATCCTGATTTGACTATTTTTAACAAATAACAAATATTGATGTTGCACTAGGAGCTATTTTGTTAAAAGCTGCAGTAAAGCCAGATCTTGCTTTTCTGTGCCTATCATTTGAGCAAGTTAAATACATTGGAACAGCACTAACATACAGTATTAGGAATCCTTGCCTGTTAAAATATAGTCTTTGAAACCTGAAAGAAAAACTCAACATAGAATGGAAATATTCCATTGTAATACTGAATATCTATGAACACCTAAAAAGCTGAGTGAATGTCAGATTTGGTGGCATAATGTTTTTGAGAATGACCTTGAGTGATCACAAATGCTATTGTTCATTGAAAAAGCATTAGACTACAGTCAGTCAACAATAGGAACAATTTTAAAGGACTCCCGTGAACTGGAGATGATGGGCATGATGCTAGAGAGTCAGGGTTTGATTCTACTGCTGGAGAAAGAAGGTTATTATTGGAGCCAATTTCTTGAAGCTGGCATCATGGGAAGTTTGTAAACAGCTCTTCTTTTTCTCATCACTCTCTAGCAGCTGAAGCCCTCAGTAACTGTACAGTAAACCTTGGTGAACCTCTTTGTATTAAGATATTACTCTGCCATCCCTGATTTGATCATCTGAAAGGATTCACCTAACTCTTTTATAACAACAACAACAACAACAACAACAACAATAATAAAGTTGAAAGGGACCTTGGAGGTCATCGAGTCCAACCTCCTGCTCAGGCAGGAAACCCTACACCATTTTGGACAAATGGCTGTCTAGTCTCTTCTTTAAAACTTCCAGTGTGGGAGCATTCACCACTTCTGGAGGCATGTTGTTCCACTGATTAATTGTTCTAACTGTCAGGAAGTTTCTCCTTAGTTCTAGGTTGCTTCTCTCCTTGATTAGTTTCCACCCGTTGCTTCTTGTCCTGCCTTCAGGTGCTTTGGAGAATAGCTTGACTCCCTCTTCTTTGGGGCAGCCCCTGAGAGATTAGAACACTGCTATCATGTCCCCCCTCGTCTTTCTCTTTGTTAAACTAGACATACCCAATTCCAGCAACCGTTCCTTATATGTTTTAGCCTCCAGTCCCCTAATCATCTTTGTTGCTCTTCTCTGTACTCTTTCTAGAGTCTCAGCATCTTTTTTACATCGTGGTGACCAAAACTGGATGCAGTATTCCAAGTGTGGTATTCCAAGGCATTGTAAAGTGGTATTAATACTTCACGTGATCTTGATTCTATCCCTCTGTTAATGCAGCCCAGCACCGTGCTGGCTTTTTTGGCAGCTGCAGCACATTGCTGGCTCATATTTAAGTTATTGTCCATTAGGACTCCAAGATCCCTCTCACAGTTACTACTATTGAGCAAGGTACCCCCTATACTATACCTGTACATTTGGTTTTTCTTGCCTAAATGTAGAACCTTGCTTTTTTCACCATTGAATTTCATTTTGTTAGATAGCACCCAGTGTTCAAGTCTGTCAAGTTCCTCCTGAATCTTAAGCCTGTCTTCTGGAGTGTTGGCTATTCCTGCCAGCTTGGTGTCATCTGCAAATTTGATGAGTTCCCCATCTATCCCCTCGGCCAAATGTTGATGTTGAAGAGCACTGGGCCCAGAACAGAGCCCTGGGGCACCCCAGTAAACACTTCCCGCCAAACCTTTTTTGGTTTTAAGGTCCTGGTCTTCTTCATCTTCTGCAGGGGTGTCAAAAACGTGCAACGTCATGTGTTGTGTTGCAACATATCGTGACTTTTTTTCCATTGTCAGCAATGGAGTGGGCATGGTTTCGCTATGATGCATCCGGCCTGCGGGCTGGCAGTTTGATACCCCTGATCTACTGCTACAGTTCCCTACAGTCTTTATTACACAAATTATAAAGAGCAGAGCAAAGGAGGTCAAGCATCTTCTTAAAAGAAAGAAGCATGACTCAGCCAATAAGTCAAGCTGGTAAGCTTATAAAAGAGATGGCTTTTGTGATTGTCTCTTTATCGCAAACAGTTTTCTAATTTCCCATTTATGATTATATTTGCATATGGTTACAATAGTGCCTTGAAACTTAATTGCATTGAAATTCACCAAATTTGGTACTCAATGCATTTTGATGTGAAAATTTTGTCCTGGTATTCATCGTTTGCTTGGTATTAGAATTTGTCAGTGTTGGTTGCTTTGTGACTCACCTCATTATTTTTTATGGGAAAAAATGGTTTGGTACTCAATGTCTTTGGTTCTCATCACACCTCCCAGAACCAATTAACAATGATTACTGAGGTACCACTGTATTTGGCTACCTGGAAATGGACTATTCAATCATTTTTCTGAACCCGCAATTTGTCTTGCTGGGCTTTATCTTTACAAAGTGTTTGTGCCTGTTTTCCATGCAGAGCAAGATGCAGTACAGGTAGTTCTCGACTTACAACCACAACTGAGCCCAAAAATTCTGTTGCTAAGCAAGACTGTTGTGGTGAGCTTTGCCCCATTTTATGACTTTTCTTGCCACTATCACTGCAGTTGTTAGTAGCCTCTACAACAACACCATCCAGAAAAGATTGTGGAGAAAGTGAAGGAGCTATAGTTACAGAGACCCCTGAAGATCATCTGTACCTACAACCCTAGGTTCAGGCCTGCCTCGGACAAAAACTGATTGGCCATCCAAATGGATGACCTGTGGAAGGATTTGTGTCGAAGCAACATGCCCTTCTTTTTCTCATAGATCTCGTGGAGGCTTTTGATCTGGTCATCCTCAGTGTCCTTCTGCACTGCTTGCAAGACAGAATACAGTTGTTTATAAAACTTGATTTAAACTTCACCATTGCTGCACGGCAGGGAATGCATGTGTCTGCCAGTCAGAGACGGTGTCATAGCTGTTGCATTTATAATTCTGTGAATGTCAACATTCTGGCTAGAGGATGAATGTGCCTTGCCTGCTGCCTCTCTCCCAATAGGAAGTCAGATCAACCAATCAGCATGCCAGACATGCATCTCCATAAACGTGTAGTTGAGATTTGGGAGCTGTGCACATTGGTCTGTCTGCAACCATCTGCAACCCATGCTTATCCACCAACCCCTTTGCAGCATAGATATGCATCAATGCATATGCCCGATCAAGCTTAGTGGAAAAGATGAAGCGGTCAGATCCTCTATTATGTAGTAGGGCTTATTCCACTCAATCAATCAATCAATCAATCAATCACTCAATCAATCAGAATAGAGCTGGAAGTGATCTTGGAGATTTTCTAATCCAGCCTCCTGCTCAAGCAGGAGACTATGCAATTTGAGACAAGTGGCTATCCAGTCTCTTCTTAAAAGTGATGGTGCACCCACAACTTCTGAAGGCAAGCTGTCCCACTAGTTAATTATTCTCACTGTTAGAAAGTTTTCTCCTTAATTCCAGGTTGCTTCTCTCCTTCATTAGTTTCCATCCATTGTTTCTTGTCCTGCCTTCTGGTACTGTATCTTCAATGTTTGTTCAAGTTGACACTTCGTAGCTGTTTGTTGGCACTTGGGTTTGTCTGAGGCTGTGGGTTCTGAAAATAAGCTAGATAGGGTGTTTGTTTTAATTTAAAAAGGACTTATGATTTAATTGGGGGGAGGGCTTATTTCTACTTTGGAAAGATTTAAACTGTTGTGATTAAATTTTCTTCCTGCCTCCAGATTTCTCCTTCTATCTGAGGAGGGGGGTTCTTCCTTCACTAGCTTACCAAGGAGTAGGTTGTGGTCCACTTTGTCAAATGCCTCACTGAAATCTAGGTATACTATGTCCACTGCGTTTTGGTGGTCTACTATTTGGTCATTTTATCAAATAATGAGATAAGATTGATTTGGCATGATCTGTTTTTAACAAACCCGTGCTGGCTGGTAGTTATGACTTTGTTTGCTTCTAGTTGTTCGCAGATATGTTTTTTGATTATCTTTTCTAGGATCTTCCCAGGTATTGATGTTAAACTGACTGGTCTGGTTTTTTTTTCCTTTCTTGAAGATGGGGACCACATCAGCCCTTTTCCAATCTCGGCTACTTCCCCAGTGCTTCAGGATTTGTGAAAGATGTGGTGCAATATATGTGCAGCCCATATGAAGAACTAAACTAATTGATGGTGCTTTTTCATTGGTATGCTGGATTTAAACAGAGTTCTTCCAAATGCAAGAATATTATCCCAGCCAATAAACAAGAAGTGATTGGACAAACATTCACATCAAAATTCTCTAATATAAAATTGGTTTAATTCTGAAATGGCAACTTACTCATGAGTTTTGGGCCTAAACATTTGTCATGAGAGTTGCAATCTAAATTTACAGAAGAGAGATAATTGCCTTTCTATGTGAGTAACAGGAATCGGTCTCTGATGCCTGACTTCTTTCAATCCACAGCCATCACTGATGTTCATCAGAGAATTGTGATGTTTTTTGCCTGTCACATAAGAGACTTCCTTATTTTAATAAGTCTCTGAGGCATGCTATAATGAAAGAAACTGCCTACAAAGGAAAAAAAAATATAACCTACTACTTAAAAACATTCCTAATTGTGTCATCCTTCAAACCCAAGAGGTTCTTAGTTAATTACTTCTGCAAATTTATATAAAAGGTTGTTCAAATTATCATCAGAGATATTATTTGGAAAGCTTGGTTTTAAAGATATTGCCAGATTTGGAACCAATTCCAAGGTTATATTTAATCTTTAAATGCAACATTAGGTAAAACAACATTCACTACCTTAATTCCAGTTGGAATTAGAATTTGCAAGAACTTATTGCTTTGTTGTTATTTAGAACAAAGGAGAGTAAGGTAATCAATTTGAAATGTTTTCATTGAAAACTTTCCACATAATAAGATTCTCCATATAGCATTTTGTGTTGCTATCCAAACCAGTACAGCTCTGGTTGACCAGAAATTGAATTTAAAAAGTTACGCACACATGTTTTATAACTTGGCTGTGAAAAGGACTAAAAAATGAGTTGTCAGTTTCCTTGCTGAGAAATTATGTAGAACTAATTAATATCTATACTCCCGTTATTCATAAATGAAACCCAACCTATTTGAATTGTCCTGCTTTTATATATTTTGTATTGTTGCAACATTTTTATTGTGGAATTGCCTGAACGTATCCACAAAATTTAGTACGGGCAGATGGCAACTTGTTCTTTTGATTAATGCTATGAGCGTTAGAGTTACAGCTCATGAAAACATTTTGGAAAATCAATAAACACATGCTGCATTGTTGCAAATGATTGTTACCAGTATGAATGCTGAAATGGAATAAAGATCAATCTTGGAAGTTCTTTAATAGGCAACGGACACTGTCTTATCAGAGATACATTATATTTAATCAAACATGGCCAATCCTATAATGTATGACATTGAAAAATCTTGACATAAACTGTGATAAGAATTCTACTTGTAAAAAAAAACTATTTTCATTCTGTGATCAGCAATAACCAGATAATAATATGCCAAACTGCTGTTGGTAGCTTTAAGGGGGAAATGCCTCAATAGTAAAGACGCCTCCCCACCCCCAGGACTTTACGAAGACTTCAGAACCAGAAGCTGCAAAGAAAAGAAAGCAGACGCTGAGGTTATGTTTCTAAAAATACAGGTAAGAAATGAAAATATCTTTTATCCAGTAACCCACACTTCATTATCCAAGACTATAGATAATAAAGTAATTGTATGTGCTTTTGTTGTTCATGAAGCAAGTACTTTATAAATGGAATAAACCAGCCAGCCAATCTAATGCTACTAATTTAGCAAAAAAAAAAAGTATTCTTGCTCTCCTGATCAAAATGTTCTGCTTACCTAATAAGAGGTATGTAAAATACATACCTGTGTGACCAAATTTACCTTTAAAAATGTTTGTCACGTTATCTTGGCCTATAAAGAGTAGGTGGTTAAGTATTTAATAAAAGAATGACTACCTCTCAGCCAACATAAAGTACAGCACATTTAGTCTAATATCGAAAATCTTGGTGGTTTAATTATCTCATGATGAATTTCTTAAGTTCAACTTTAATTTCCAAAGATGTCGTTTTCAAACATTTTTGTTCTTTCTCCTTTTAACAGACCACAGGACTCAAATGAAGAGTGAAAATCAAACTGTGAGTCCAGAATTTTACTTCCAACCATTCACAACCATCCCAGAGATGAAATGGTTGATCTTCTGGACTTTGCTGATTCTCTACTTGCTCAGCCTATTCGGGAATGCGTCCGTTGTTTTCGTCATTTACACTGCAAGTTCTCTCCATACCCCAATGTATTTTTTCTTGGCTAACCTGGCATTTCTGGAGATCGCCTACTCTTGTACCATTGCCCCCTTAACTTTGGCTCATCTTGCTTCAGTGAGAAAGGTTGCCATTTCTTTGGGTGGGTGTGGCACCCAGCTCTTTTTCTTTACCTTGCTGGGGGGCTCAGATTGTGTCCTGCTGGCTATCATGGCTTATGATCGATGCATGGCAATTTGCCGCCCATTAAACTACCCTCTCATTATGACCTGGAGAATGTGTGTGAATCTTGTAGTTGGGGCATGGGCCACGAGTGGGTTTCTTGGTTTCCAGCTGAGTCTCCTCATACTAACCCTGCCTTTCTGTGGCAATATAATCACTAATTTTTTCTGCGATTTTCCTGCTCTAATGAAACTGACATGTGGAAACATCCATGCCCAGCAAAATATCCTTTTTATTACAAGTATGATTCTCTTGACTTTTCCCTTCATAGTAATCAGCATGTCCTATGCCTTTATCACAATGGCCATCATACGCATCCCTTCTGCCTTGGGGCGTCAACGAGCTTTCTCTACTTGTTCCTCCCATTTAATGGTTGTCCTTATGCAGTATAGCTGTAGCAGTTTAATATACCTGTGCCCTACTTCCAGCTTCTCAGGGGTGCAAATTCGGATGGTGTCTGTCTTCTACACTTTCATCACACCTGTATTAAACCCCCTGATCTACAGCATGAGGAGCAAAGAGTTAAAAGAGGCAATGAATAAGTCCTTGAGAAGAATAATACTGCCTCAGAAGAAATGAGACAATTCTGTCAATAAGGGAGAAAACACTCACCAACTATAATAAAAATATGGTGGGATCAAGAAGACAAGAAACTGATGGATGGGTAGACTATCTGCATGCTTACAACTTCTGTATATTATCATAATCTTTGCAGAGCCCAATGTCTGAAATTCTTTCCAACTCCTTTATTGGCAGTAGACATAGAAGGTCCCTGTGCTCTATGGAATATACAGTAATAATGTACATATATGTGTGTGCTACACGCACACAAACTTTCTCCCAAAAGCCAACTGAGCTGCATATGAGGCTTCTGAGTACATGTGCATATGTGTATGAGAAAGAAAACCTGGGTCCATATATGTGTTTTTTTAAAAATATGTTTTATTAATTTTTTAACATAGTCACCTTAATATTCGGTAAACAGTGCGTTGTCTGGGTTTACATTTAAGAAACATTCACTAACAGTTGATTTTTATAATCTATAATCCATATAATAACTTTACTTGATTTCCTCTTTTTCCCATAATGTTCTCTTTTACCAACCTTTTGTTAATACAATTCTTGTTTCAATGAGTGGTGATTGAGTATAAAAGTTTTCTAATATTTCTACAGATAATAATCACATTAATATAATATTCCTTTTCTATCTAATCATTCTGGTTGTCTCATCATAGATCCTGTTTATAGTTCTTGTTTACATTTGTTTTTCTCACAATGTTCAAAACATTCTTACTGGTTTAAGATTTTCTCAAAGTTAATTACATTTAAATATTTAAATCTAATTTTTCTCATGTAAGCCAACCCAATACTTTTATCTTTCTTAAGGAATAAATAAGACTAAAAAAAGAAAAAAGAAAAAGAATAAAAAATAGAAATAAAAAGATAGTATGCTACTTAAAATCTCTATTTCCTATAAGCTAATACATATTTATTTCCAAGATTTTTTGTTCTTTTTTACCATAATTAAAAATATATTTAATCTTTAAATATTCCATTTAATAAATCTAGTCCTCTAGTCTTTTAACTCTTATTCAAACATTTGTTTTAATCCATTGTAATTTTCTTAAAGTCAATCACCTTTAGATATCTAAAACATTTCCTTTATATAAGCCATTCCAACTCTTTTATATTACTCATATCAGGAAATAAAATAAAAAAGAAGAACAAAAAGAAAGTACTATGTTATTTGAGGGGCTCTTCCCTCTTAAAGTCAAATTCACATCCAAAATTTTTCTATTTCTTTAACCATATTCGAAGAGGTGTTTCTTTTTTAAATATTTTCTCTGGTAGGCCTCATCGTCTATTTTCTTAATTTTTACTTTAGCCTTTTTCTTTTGCCCAATATCTTTGTTAATCAATATTTTCTGCTGAGTCAAAGAATCTTTCCATATTCTTGCAGGTGTTATTGTAGATATAAAAGGTAAGTCAAGTACAATATCTTTGTGAGAGGCATTTTTCTTTCTTTTTCTCTCTGCTTCTCTTATCATTTTTTGTCTCTCCAGTTCTAGTGTTTTTCCTGGCATCTCTGCAGTCCATTTTGTTCAATCTTTTTTCTTATCCTCAAATTTGTTTTGTGGTGTTATTGTATAAGTTGTCTTTTCCAAATCCAGTATTTCTTGTAAAAAAAAATTCCACTAAGATTAAATCATACTTCTTTGTTTTGTTAGGTTCCATCTTTAAGTCTCTATCCTCAAATTTGTATTCAACTGTCTGTTTTATCTGCTCCTTCTCTGTTGTTATTTCCTGGGATTTTTTGTTGTTGTAAAGTTAAATTGGAGATGAATTGGTTCATGTTTTCAAAGTTATTTTGGATTTCTTTGTGGTTTAAAGTCATTGTTGTTTGAATTAGTTGCAGCATCTCATATTTCTCCTCTTGAAAGGTATTTATTTTTTCTTGATAAATTCTTTCTGCAAGTCTCTGACTTTCCATAGTGGTCAAGAATCGAGGTTTTCTTTTCTCTGCAAATAGTTTTAGAGTCATAGTTTAGTAGATATTTATAATCCAAAAAGGTTCAAAAATGTTTCCTGAAGTTTATAATCCTCTCTTTGTCTGCAACCCAAATTGTTTTCTTTTTTGTCACAGCTGTTCTCTATTGTTATAGCTTTGAAGGCCACAAACACAGATTAGTTTTTTTCCAGATTTTATAAAGTCTTGTATAAAAGCCATAGCTGTCATAGTCTCTATCCACCACTAGATGTCAGCGCCAGTTTATTTTTCAAATTATCAAAATAGAAAATTGCCTTTAAAATGAGATTCTTAACCATTCAGTAATTTTAAACTTATCCAAATTTAGGTGTTATAATCATTTCATTTCATTTCAATACATTTTGGTCCTCCATAAAAGGTTTAATTCACTGCTTCTGTTAGTAAAAGGGTGGGGCAAAAAATCCCCCTCCTTCACTTTTGGAGGTTTTTTGCTTCTTGGGATTTTTTTTGGCCGACGAAAGCTCAGCATTTTTGTAGATTAAACAGTTTTTGTTTATATTTTATCCTGGTGTTCGGATTTGTTTACCATTTTCACGACATAACAGTTTATATATATTGAATATATATTCAATAATACAGCCTTCGATCTCCGGGAGAGGTATAAACCAGTTGTTTATTGCTAAAAAGATATTTAAAAACAATAAAAACAACTATTTACAATGTTAAAAGAAACAACTTAGCTTTCGCTGGTCCCCTGCCAGGGACCTCAGAGTAAAGCTTAGGGGGTGGGGAGCTTTATTCTGAGGACCCTGGCAGGGCCAGCAAAAGCTAAGTTGTTTCTTTTAACATTGTAAATAGTTGTTTTTATTGTTTTTAAATATCTTTTTAGCAATAAACAACTGGTTTATACCTCTCCCAGAGATCAAAGGCTGTGTTATTGAACAAATATACCTGGGATTCGCATTTTTGCAGCTATCAAGGACGGACACACACACACACACACACACACACACACATTAGTTGAGTTCTAAAGTTCAGAAAACTGACAATAGCATATAGGTGTCAAATGTAGGTACCAACTTGGAGTTAATATGTGCCAACACTTCAAGATAAACCAGTCTAGGAAATCAAAGTTATAAATGCTAATACTATAGTAGCTAAACTTTCCAAGTCTGAATATGCTTGCCTACTCCCTCCCTTTATCTTTATTAGGACTAGGGAATGTCAATTATAAGATGCTTTTTCAAATTCCATTTCTGCTTGGACTCAAATTGGCAGCAGAGAATTTCTGCATTGCTTTGCTGCCATCTTGCATCTGCCATGTTCATCCACAGCCCATGTCTAGCTGCTGTTATGTTCCCATCCATCGTGCCACCTTAGACAAATGCCAGGGTTCCTGCTGGCCCAGAGCAGACCACAACCAGGTTTGTTTTGTTTGTTTTTTTCAAGACTGGAGACCCAGGTAGAGGCCTTGACTGTAATTCCATTCCTGAAGGCAGCCTTCCTTTAGAGTGAAGTTATGTCCATGGCTGGCTGGGGAATTCTGAGAGTTGAAGTCCACAAGTTTTAAAGTTGCTAAGGTTGGAGACCTCTGGTCTAAGATTCTAAGATGTAGGGAGATCTGTTGAGAATTAGGCAAGGGCACATCTTCAGCAAGATATCCGTAGATATGGAATTAATGAATCCTTGTGAGAATGAACTGAGCCCAACCCTGAAGCGAATATTTTTGTAATATCCTGAAAAGTGTGAGAGTTGAGAGTCATAAGTGCTTTGAGAGAGCAGGAAAATAGGATAATATAACTGATTAAAATTTTGGCACATGTGGCAACCATATCCATAACACAGCCTTTTGCTTCAGCACAAAGAAGAGCAAATGGTATGTTTCTGAGAAACATTAATTCAGTTTTCTTCCAGATCTTGCACAGTTTCTAAAGAAACCATTGCTGAAGATCTTAAAAACATTGGTGAAAAACAGTATTATTCAATTTTTTTAAAAAACAATCAGGTACAAAAATATCACTCTGGCTTCATTTAATTTTACTTAGATGTTTCAAAACATTTTATCTTTCAGAGAAATAAAAACTAGCTGATACATGATAGAACGGGGTACCAGGGACCGGTTACATGGAGAGAGGTTTTTCCGTGGACCGGAGAGTGTGTGGTTTTATGTGCTGCCTGCATCCCATGGATGGGGCTTTGCTTGTTTGTGTGGACTGGTTGCTGGCATGCTGTGGCCCGGTACCGGTCCACGGACTGGGGGTTGGGGACCCCTGTGGTAGAGGTTGCAAATGGAACTGTTAATTTAAGGACACATCTGCATAGGAAAAGCATCTGACATTAATGGATCTATCAAAGTCACAAATTAGGTCCTCAGCCTTGGAACACAACTTAGCAATTAGAAATTCTATCCAAATTCTTTATGAGCAAGAGCCTTAAATGTGCATTTCAGTTATACTAGCTGATCAGTTTTATATTTATGGATCTCTTTCTGACGCATTTATACTCTCCAAATGAAGCTGAGAGGCAGCACAAAAATGGTAAGGATCTACATCTTTATACCTGTTTTTCCATTATATGAAAAAAATATGAAATGACTTTCCACCACCACCACCACCTTAACATACTGAATGTCTGAGGATGTATAGCAATATGCTGGCAACTCCCAGTAGTATGGATGTGAGAAGAGTAGATGGATGGAGCAAAAGTCAAATATTGCTAAATCTCATGATTAACTATATAGCTGGGCTTCATACTTGATGTGATCAATTTTTGTAATAAATGAAAGCTTACATTGTGGAGTAAAAAAAACTAGTTTAAAAGGTAAGTCAAATATCTTTTGGGAGAGGAAATTAGACTTCATGTAATAGAGTCAACTTTGATTTACCTCAGAATGTAGTCGGTGCATAACATTATGTACTTTATTACATCTCATGATTTAATTTCATAAAAATTATAAAGAAGTTAAATGTGTTTTAGCTCCATGAGTTTTTGAATGAAAAATCCTTATTCTAATAAATTAGAATGTCTTAACTTTTTTTGAATCCATGTTGGATTGATTTAATAAAAACAGTGAAGTAAGCTTTTGTTGTATTAAATCAAGTAATACAATATGAATTTTAAGAAAAAAAATGTTTGGGATATCTGAAGTAATGTTTATTCAAAGCTAGTTATGGATCTTTTGTAGCTGGAATTGTAATTTGGAATAAAACCATTCATATCATTTTATTTTATTCAGCTTTTCTTCCTTTTGATTTCAAATTCACTTATTGTCATTATGATGCTAAATAATAGTGATTGCTCCTAATTAAACATGCAGGTACTGTCTAACTCTAAGAGCAATTCTGTGCTGCAGCTTAAGCTGCTTGTTTACTTGGCTGCTCCTGGCTGTTTCTTAAACCAACTTCAGCAATTCCAGTCTGGATTATAATGGATTGGCAATTGGTCCAGTTTGGGGCTCAGCCTTGACTACAGCCACCAGTAATATTTTCCA